TTGCACTCAATTTTTTTAAAAATATGTTTAAAGCCAAGCACAACTTTTAAAAGCTTTTCTTTTTTTTACACAGAAAACGACTCATTTGAATTCGATACTGTGAAACAACAAAAGAGCAAAACTTCCAAGGAGTGTCAATACTTTCTGTAAGCGCTATATCGACAGTCTTCCCCTAAATTCACTTGACAGCAGATTCTTGTGAGCTCAGAAAAGGTGCTTTTTTTCCCAGGGAATGCAAAACCACTAAGAGGATGACTGTTTCAACAAGAAACACTCCACAAAAATCTATAAAGGTGTTCCTGTGAAATAAATGTGACAGCCGCTCTCGGGAAGCACAGGATCCATATGCCACTGACTCAACAGTTAATACAGACAGTAACCCCTCTGAGGCTCCACACCGCTATCCACGCATCCCAGGAGAGATGGAGAGAAGTGATTAATACTCGTTTACTGAGTGAGGAGGCTGTTAACTTATTCCCTTCCTCTCATACCACTCAATATCAATTAGAGAAGCTCTGCACTCCTGTCAGTGTTTAGGAGGTGTCCTTCTGGAGTGCTGATAATGATCCTCTCTGCTTACAGTGGGCAGGAGGCAGGAAGTTAAGAGGCTGACTGCAACAGGTTGCAACATTATTTACCTTACTCAAACATTTATCATTATTAATATGCAAGAAAATGACTGTATATGGTGCGGACACTACACACTGTTAACTCCATTTCATATCTGTTGTGCGGTATAATGTAATACATTGTAAAAGGCCACTAAACTACTCAACCTTTTTGAGGAGTCAAATAAAAAGCTGGCAACACATAACTTAAGTGTAAAGTGCTTTTGTTTCATATAACAACTGCCGTTTGCCAATAACGTGCTTTTAGAAAGACGAGCGTCATGTGCTACACTGAATAATGACAGGTATTGTATGCAGCTCCATTCACATCGATACTGCACAGCGTTGAGAAGACAAAGATAAAGGTTAACACACTCTTGAAATTTCAAAAGGAAATGACTGGCTGGTGCCCGAGTCATTCACTGAAAGACGTCAGACTTTCCAAGAGAGAGCTTAGCAGGACATCGACAGTGAATATTAACATATAAAAGCTTTCCTTTTGAAACACATACAGCATTCACATACAGGACATGGCGTTCCAGCCACTTCCACACCGGGGGTGCGCTCCGACATCACATTTATGGCAATTATGTTGTAAATATGCTGGCTCCGGTTGGACAACAACTTTTAAAAAAAACGTTAAAATCGCAAGATACGCTCCGTTAACATCCATGTTTACTTCCGCAAACACTGAGCACGCTTGTGGCGTGTGATGTCGTTGTGTCCTCTACTGCGCATGCGGGACACTTCTGGTTCGTATGAAGTTCACACAGGAGATCGCATACAAGTCGAATTTAATTGGAAATATAAACAAACACGCAAAAAAAAATGATTTCACAAAAAAATCTGAATTGAGCATTAAGTCCTGCAGTCTGATCGTGGCCTAAGACACTCTGTGTAGGTTTTCCTTTAATTTGTCACCTGTTTGTATTTGCCCACATGTGTTCCTCTGTGTCACATTCTGTTCTGATTTAGGAACAATTCTGTACAAAAATAAATGAATAAAGAAAGAAACAAAAAATGACTAAATGACAGCAGTCAGGAGTTCTGGTTTGTACAAAGGGTATCACACTGACCAAGGCTAATGGCTACTCTGCTGAAAATCCCAGCTTGTTACGGGCAGCATAGCAGCAGGCAGTCACACCATCGCTCATGTTTGGTGTAAAAAGCAGGGCTCACTCGACAAGAAGGTGACCACAGTTGAGTGGCAACGACCGTGACAGGGCCGGAGCCGAGGGCAGGTGGCAGGGCCTCGACGCACCAGCCAGCTGCTACCCCTGACATCCAGCGCACCACGTCCTCACTCAGGGCAGCACAGGTGACTGCAGGTGCATCCAGGGAGAGGTGAGTAATGGTCAGGAGGGGAGGCAGGGTCTCATGTCAGCAGTGTGTTCAGTATAAACGGATACCAACACCCAGGGACACCGAAAATAACCAAACTAAGTTGTGTAAACAACTGCAAAGAAAACCTTTTCCACCATTTCAAAAGGTGAGTATTCAGCTAAAACTAAAGCTGAATGTCTTAGATCATTTTTGTCACTTTAAATGTTTAACCATGTCCGCTGTAGAGAGAGTCAAGTTTATTTATAATTCAGGATCCTAACGAGCTATGATGGGATTCATGCTTTGACACTTGAACTTAAAGTGAAAAGGTTTACTGTGGAGTTTGTCTATTTTTTTGGTAAAAAATACTTGTGCCTTTGAGTCAAAACATTTATACATTTTAATTGGACGTTTACCCGCCAATTATCACTTCAGGTTAAATGCTCTACTGCACTTTGATTTTCTTTGCTATATATTTTTTCCGTTTTGATGAGAGGAGGCTGGATGCAGCTGCTGCTCCTGGAAGACGCTGAAGCGGTTAAAGCTGTAGCTGGGTGCACCTGCTGCTATAAAACCACTATTAGACCAAATGCATAAATGCCAATTCTGGTATGTTTACACTCAAAGCCTCGAGCCTTACAACACCAACACTGGCCAAATATTCTAATGCGGACAAGGCAGACGACGTTTTGGCCATTCGCTTTAACAAAATGAAGCCACACCGACAACTTCTTTGACATGAGGAGTCGCATCAGAGTAAATCTTTAGTTAAAGGAGAAATCTTTGAATTTGTCTCCAATAATTTGGGCTTGTTCATAGTCGTGAAAAATGCGGGGGTGGTCGCAGGTAGTCTGTTACTAATGGATTAATCCCAGAAGGCTATTGATGTAGTGTTTTTCTCTTTAAGAACATAACACTGGTGACTGTCCAACCAATGATAATTTAAGTCAGAACATATCGACCAGCTGACCTGGAGACTACAGCCATTTTATATATATCCCCTCTTGGCATGGAAATGGCTTGCAATCCCAGGAAGAACTCGTAGAAGTGGCTAAGGATATCTTGGGTGACTTTGCCGGATAATCAGTGGCAGATAGTTACAAGATAACGAACGTGTACAATGTTTTTAGGGTGCTTTTTCATGAGTAAATGACTGATGAATTCAACCTGATAACATCTGAGGACAGTCACTTCAAAATCAGACCTGGGCAACATGGCTAAACATATTTTTATTTTGTTTGTATAAATTGATATCAGTAATTATCACATTACATATCTAATAGCATTAATGATGCAGCCCTACCTGCTATAGTGTGTTACAGTTCTTTTGAGAGCAGCACACCAAACAGTTTGGCTAAATCTTAATAGGATAATATATTCTCTTGTCCTTGAGAAGCAGCTCTTCCAGAAACACTCCAACAAACAATCTATAACTCAAACTGTCTTTACACACTGGGAACTGTGCGTGTGGCTCTTTGTACTAAAAAAACAACAAGGATGCACAGCTGGAGAGAAGAAAGAAAAGAAACAAGGCCAATGGTCAAGATTAATGGCTTGATGGACAAAGTAGGCCGTGACTTTATTGCAATTTTAGAACATGGCCAAGACATTTAACTATTGACAATTAATTATTCTGATTCTAAATGTTACGCAAGGCTATTGCGCCCATTTTTAATTTGCTGCAATACAAATTAAGTGTTAGGTCCTTAATTAATTAATAATTATCAGTGCTTACGAATACACTGTACACACAAGTGTAGTTATTTATGATGTGGGGACAATGAAACATCAATATATTGCAATTAGAGGAGCAGTTAAGGGAACAGACAGATAACAAAGCCATGGCTTTATCCAGATTGTCAACACCACTGTACGCAGAGGTAAACCAGAAAGTGGAATACTGATAATAATCACTCATTTCAAAAAAATAACTATGTGTAAGAATACTGACAGTACAGTCCACTACTTATGAGGAATGTTCCTAATGATGGATTTACCTGCTGATTAAATGGAAATTTAAATTGAAGCTTGTCAACTTGTTCACAACAGGAGGCTTAATCGACTTGATAAACCTCCAGGTTATATTTTGTACATTTTCTCAGAGAAACAAAAAAGGAAACAATTTAATAATAATTTCCCTTTGTTGGTTTAAAATCTACCAATATAGAACTAGTCTTGCCGGCGCAATATTCACATAGTACTACAACACAAGTCAGTATAAATTCTACTGCGTGTCACCTACACTCCTGCTAATTACAGTGCTGCAGAGGTGTGTATGTTAGTGAGGGAAATAATTGGCTTGCCTGATTACCAGTCTTCTTTTTTTGTGTAAAATAAATAAATGATAATATACCACAATGGATGGCCAGATCTCTGAGCACCACTCCCCTCATGTTGTTGCTCACAAGAAGCAAACATAAAGCTTCTGCTGGAGCCATTTTGAATCATTAGCCTGTGCTGTAAAGAGCCCTGCAAACGCGACACAACCAATCAATTACATAGAGCCAAGGGAGGGTGAGCTGAGCGAGAGTGAAAGGGGGCAGGCGAAACCCCTGTGTTATTTAGCCAGCCGGATAGTGGACAGTGCATGGATGCTGCTGTTGTTTGTGTGTTGTTTATGCGAGCTACCGCGCTCTGTGCGGGGGTGGCAGGAGTGCCATGATTCAGTGGTGTTGTGATTTTAACAGCGGGCCCAGGACGGACGGTTTATTTTCATCCGTCGCCCTGTGAGTGACGGTCCAATCAAGCTTGGGACGGGCTGTCAAGCCTGTCAGGCTGAGGAATGAGAGGAGATGGGAATCAAAGACACAGAGCAGGGCCGAACCATGATGGACGGACCTGAGCACAGCAACCACACGGGTGAGGGCGGGAGGGAGGGATGAAAGAAATGGGGGGAGACACTGATAAAATGGAAATATGTGTGGAGAGAAAAACAGAGGCAGAAAGAGAGGGCTCAAAGCCCGCTATAAAAAACGGGGAGAGAATGGTGAAAAGCAAAGAGGAATATCCTGTTTGAAGAAGTCAATATCATCAGCGTTTGTGAGGAAATAGCGTAGGTTTTCTTCTTACCAATCCAGCGCATGAGCGAAGTGAGAATCTGAAGATATTTGGTCTTCTGGGCACTGAAGAAGGTGAACGGCCCCAACAGAAGAGTGAACACGCTCTGCAAAAGAGAGAATTTATTTTAATATATACATATTTTTAACTTTCTTAAGGTAAAGCACGCAGTCGAAGAAACACAAAACTGCATTGAAAGAAAAAAACAAACACGATATAATTATAAAAGAAAGAGAATGTGAGTCATGGTCAGGTAAAAGCAAGCTTAAAGTGAGAGCCTTGCTTTACTATCCAAAGATAAGAGCAGGCACATGCTCAAAGATCATGTGCAAACGTTTGATTTACAAGGACTTAATATACTGAACATCTGCAAAATGCTCCATTTGAGATGATTCTGATGTTATTTGTTTCTGAGATTGCAAACATGTTATGGAATTTTTTTAGGCTGTATTTCAGTATGTTGTGAATGACAGAAAATTACGTAAACAATCAATGTAATATGGAAGTTGTTTATCAGGCAAAAACCATTTGTTTTCTCTGAACATTTCAGCGAGCAGCTTTGTTTTTGACGTACAATTGTGATATGTCCCTGATATGTAATTTTGAAATGCTCGTGGTGACACATCATTCCCCAAGTGCTGTCAAAAACCCATCAGTCCTCTCGTAGATATGTGAAGAGATGAAGAGGTGGACCGATCCATAGTACACCAAAAATTTCAAATCCTCCCAGGCCACAACTTTGATTGCCTATCAGATACTTTTCTTTATCAAGAGCTGCAATCAGAGGCAGTGGCTCAACTACTGTAGCTTCAATCCCATCAGCTCCCTTCACTCCTTCTCCTCAACGCCTGCAAACTTATTCCCTTTATCCATTTCTTCCCTCTGTCCCCATTCTCTGACACTCTCAGGTCTGACTTGCACAGTTTGAGTGGCATGTGATCTCAGAGGCAGTCACTTGTGCGCTATTTCATCTGAAGAGCAGCCTGCAGGGTTTCAAAGAGGGACCTAAACCTCCCATCAAACACATATGGACACACACACACACCAGTGTATGCACCTCTGGGAGGGCAGAATACGATTTCAGTTCAGCGTTGGATGTGAAGAATCAAGCAGAGGATGGACATGAAGACAGCTACTTAACACTTAAACTACAGCTCAGTTTGGAATATCCGCTCATTCACCACACAGTCCACTATCAAATCAATGTTAAGCTTGATTGTTTTTAGTATTTCAAATCTCTTCTTTAACAAATGTATGTTAGGCTAAAGGGAACGAAACAAACCATCTTGGACTTCCAGAACCGAGAGAGGTCTTCACATACACAATCTATTTAAGTCTATTAATGTCCCTATCAAGTTTTTTTTTTTCTTTGCCCCCGTTTTGATCAGTAATTTAATATTTTGTATCTGCCAGTACCCAATACCATTTTTTCTAGATAATAAACACTTTAAGTTTTATAAATCAGTTGTAGTACCTTGTGGTGTCTCTGACTGTTCAATAGTATAGAAACGAGAGGAGCTGTGTTTGCAAGCAGACAGCATTGTGGTGGTTTTGCTAGAACAAGGGCACCACGATAAAGTCTTCTGTGAGGTTCAATCACCTCCCATCTGTGGCAATTGTGATGGATGTGGTGTATATCATGTATTTGCAACTTTGCCAACTATATTAGTGCATGACCAATAGAAAGTATATTATGAATAGGCTAGTTATTGACTGATACTATTGCACATATTAGGTACATTTTTCCAATTTATACCAACTGACCGCAGACATGAAGAAAAAAATGCGCTGAAGTTCTTGTCAATAGTGACCAGTTACAAATTGCATTGATCAGCCATAATGTTAAGCATAAAAACTTGAGCTTGAAGTTCATATAAGCAGTTTGTGCATAGGTACAATTCTACCATAAGGTCCAAGAAGCAGACATTATTGGTGCAATTGTGCACACTTGCACTTTTACAGCTCCAAATTGCTATGTTGTGAAATATGACACCAAGTTGGTGTAAAACAGTGAGTCAAAAGTGTCGATCAGTACCCCACAGAGTGTTTCCTAAGTTTGAACTTGTGAATTAGAGAACAAGGGAGCAATTTTGGACACAGCCGGGGTCCAAAAGATGCACAAATGGACAGCTGGGCGATCTGTGGGCTTGGGAGTAAAAAACATAACAACCCTTAATTCTGCTGAATAATGATGATGCCCGTGTGTCTATATATTAAAGTATTACCAGCTGTCCTCTTGGCAAAGTGCAGTCTAAGCCCAAGCCGAGCCAAAGCATAAATCTGCAACAGCCATTGGAGGTAATGAATGAACCATTATAAGGAGAGATGTGTCTGAAGAAGAAAGTGAAATTAATGGTGGCTGGCTGACAGACAGTATTTCAGCCCTGAATGCTTCAGCTTGGCCCAGCACCTTTGCTTTCTGTTACAAGATCGCTTTGTAAACCTGGGTCTAATATTTGTTACATTTAGGTCTGAAGCATATTTGTCATGCTTAATAAAAATTATGTATTGAGTACTTGGCGAGACATTTATATGATTGTTAGGACTCAAGACCAGTAAGGCACTTTGAGGATGTTTTTTAGTCTAATTATCCTTTTAGTTTTTGCTCATAATGTTGACTTTTGTGGACATCAACAGGCAAAAAAATGACCAAGCATGTGCAACAATATGTACGTCATGTATTGAGGACCAATATTATTAATTTTTAAGGGAATTTGCTTAAATGAAAGGTAAAAGCAATGTTTCCTGAATAGATTCTTGAACTCTATAGCCTTGCTGAATTTCAGCACATGATGCAAAAAAAAAAAAAAAGCAGATTTCAACTAATTATTTTCCCTTTTCCAGGTTCCTGCATACTGCAGCTTTAATGTGTCTGTGTAGACATGAATGTGTATAAACTGAAACAAAGCCACGTTCACTTGAGCTGACGGGTAGGACCGCATTGACACTGGGTTCATGTTGGTCCCTACGCAAATCTTGTGGCAACAGAGGGTTTTAACTTTGATGTTGGTGTTAACGGGCGGTCAAAAATGAACTGTGGGTCCTGGGATTTAGCACAACCAGAAGGATGAAGTCAATGAATGAAGAAGAAAAGACGATTAAAGCGGGTTCTCACAAAGCAAAAGCAAACCAATGCAAGTCTGACATTTGGACAAATGTCCCAGTTGTTACTGACAAAGAGAAACAGAACCAAACATTGTTGCCAGAAATGTGCGAAGTACTGAAACACAACGGGCACAAGTCTGGCACCTCTGGGTAGACGCCACACCTGCTCTGTTCTCCCCAGTCACAGTGAGCTCTCTTTCAAAGATACGGCACTTCTTCCTGCACATTTTGAGATGCTATCGAGACGTGCAAAATGTTTACTTGCTGCACTACAATAGTTGTAATTTTATGAATGTAGCTACAATTTTGCTACAGAAGTATCGACAGCCATGCATTTCTTTATTTACACTACACACTAAAATAATGCGTTTTCTGTGTGGAATGGGAGAAGATACAAAATCAATGGAATTCTACATTGTGCAGGCAAAAATGGTCAGAATGTTGGCGGGTGCAGGCGGGAGTGGACAAACACATTGGGGAAGCAGGTGGTAATGGTCAGAAATGCAGCAGGGGTTTGATTCAGAGAACAGCTCTACACTGGGCCCCAGCTGACACTTCTCCTAAGGCTTTATGAAGCTTTCTCAAAAAAATCTGAGAAAATGATCACAAAGTTCAGCCATTAAGCAAATCAAAACGCACTGTGCAATGACACAGTTGTCATACACAGACATATCATAGACACCCAACAGGTCAAAATCCAACCTGGAGTGGCCGAGATTCAAGTAATAACCCTGAGGGTTAACAGCAGTCTTGTGTTTGTATGTGGGATTCTGGCTGATGAATCTCTCAGCAGTTTCTCGACCCCTCATGAATCAAGACTGTACCCCCAACAGCTTAAAAATTCCCATAAAACCCCATACCAGCCAATGGCCTGAGGACACAGCAAACCACTCAACTGTGTCTCCATGACAAGAGAAATACAAGAAAATAACACTCCAAAAATAAATAACTGCAACACATCTTTGTTAAAAAAAAAAAAACACACACAGTTAGAACACTTAACGATCACACCAATGCAGCAGCTAGGGAATGGGTTTGTATTTCTACCTATATCCCTTCTGTCTATTCTCATAGGTAAGTGACCAAAAGCAGTCTCAATAAATCAGTCTGCAGGTAGCCAAGCGACACAAACACAAACAGATTCAACAGGTTCTGTACATGAAATACTTGTGTTTATGACACTTTATTACTTAAAACACCACAGTTGTTTGCTGGTTAATGATATCTAACACACTATACAGGACAAGGATTCATTTCTTATCACACTTGTGATTTCCTGCACCTTGCTAATATCCTCTACCGATCATGATTTTTAAAACGTACCACCATTTTTATGTTCTGTTAAAACACAGCGCGGGTGTTAATGTCACAAGACTTTATGTTAAATGACCAAAATCATGTTAAAACCACCAAGGCAGTTCATTAACTAGACAGTGAGGACGTAAACTAGACACCGTAAGATGTATGTACTCCCGACAGCAGAAACAAGAACAGCGAAGGCTTGAAAATGAGTTCTTGTCTTCAGTAGAAATCAGATCACAAAGGCACCGGAGGGGCACAGGAAAGAGAAGGCTGCACAGAAAATGACAGGGTTTTGTAGAGAGAGAGAGAGAGAGAGAGAGACCACGGGAATGGAAAAGGAGTAGAGGAAGTGCGAGTGGGTGAGTACAGAAAAATCAGATGCCATGTGTTGCAGGGTGACTCAGACCCACAGAGTTGGCATGGCCCAACCAAAGCAAAGAGAGAGACTGATAGGGTCACTATAGGCACAACCAGCATGAGGTCGCGCTTCCCCATCGCACTTTAGAAAAAAATATGCCTTTTCAGGATAGTGCTACCGCAATGAATGCAGCACACAGATACATTAATACGTCACCCTGGTCATGGTAATCCTAGGAGCTTAAGTTAAAAGCAGCTGGACTTTTCTTTTAGGTTCCAACAGACGTTTCACCTCTGCCTATTTAAATGTGAAAGTGTAAGTAAAATAACTGTGATCATGTT